GGGGCTACCAAAGTGCCAAACCAAAAACCCATGCAGTGAGATGGAGAGATAGAGGCGGCAACTGGTCTGGGTCAGGCAATCTGCTGATTGTGTTTACCTTCTGACTGGTAATTATATCTTAAAGAGGTAGGAATGAGCATTTGCTGTGTGTAAACTATTGCATTAGATGCCAGTTTTCTTGTCTTCCCTGGTAATCTCTGTCATCTTCTAATACAGTCTTAAACAGTTCCTGGAGGCCCTTAAAATGAAATAGATGTGTTCATCTGGGTTTACATTAGCTATTTAATCACAGGATATGTTGCTAACTCTCATGGGTCATCTTAAAAGAGGCAAACTGAGGGCAGAGATAATAGATCTCTATTTTCTCTTTTCCTTACCAGTATGAATATAGATATATGTGTATGGATATATGGTATATAGATACTATAGCTATGTGGATACTAAAAGCCGCATCTTCATGGACAATCATAGGTAGGCTAGTCATTCGAGCGCACTGGCTACTAATCAGAGTTTGGAAGATGTGTGCTTCTGAATCATTTGATACTGCATGCAAAGAGTATGGTTCCTTGAAAGTCTGCCATAAAATAAAGCTTAACCAAGCTATATAACTGTTTGTATGATTTTCTAAATGCTCTAATAATCCCTCTGCTTCTTCAAACTGTGTTCTTCATTAGGGCTTGGGCAAAATTTAATGATACAAATTCTGAGTCATATATAGACTTGCCAATTTGCATTAATAGCTTGAAGAATCATTGAGAGCTACTCATTTTCTCAAATTAGCAAGTAAATCAGTGAATGTAGTAGAAAGAATGGAGTATGAAATATACTCTATTTGTTTAGTGTTAATTTCTCATTATAACTTTACATTATAGCAGTAAACATCTTGCAGTATACATTTGTAAGGATAATGAAATCTGAGTACTCTGTCCTCACTGCAAATACTCTGATGAAATCATTGTTTGAAAATGAATGTTGGATATTATTACAAAATTAATTTCTATTTTTTAGATGATGCACAAAATCTAAACATAAAGACGTAATGTAATTACACAGCCAGGCTTTCAGAAAAAGCAAAATAAAGTGCATTTCTCCTTTTCCAGTCACACGTTTATATGCCACAGTCAGTATTTTTACTTTAATTCTGGACTGTGCTTATACAGTATGGGATCATAAGCTGAAGGAAAATTTATTGAAATAAAAATTCCCCATCCTGGCCCAATAAACAGTCTGTATCCCATGCCATGTGCTAGAACAAGGAGCAGAGAGGTCAGTCTCCTTTGCAATACATCCACGGAGAATCGTTAACCAGAATGCTAGGGATTCAATAGAAGACACTTTGGGGTAGTGAAACAAAAGTATAGGGAAAACGTTTTTTCTTTAATTTGCAGAGATCTGGGATCTTGAGCTTTGAAATACCTCTAGAAGCAGACCAGAGAAACCAAGTATTGGCATATAGCTCCTTGAAACTAAAAGAAGAGAAACTGAGAAGGGGATTTTAGATTAACAAAAGTAAAGGAAACGAAGGGAAGGATATGCTTTTGTTGTGGGCATTTCCATTTAACTGCAGGACTGGCTGAGAGAGACAGAAACTTGCTGTATAGGATAGAGACAGATGGACACAGCATAGAAACTATGCAGGGAGGAGGCATGGAAGTCCTGGGGTCCAGGGGACAAATGAGAAGGAAGAGCTCCTGCAGGGCTAACAGGTAATCCCACTGGGCAGAGCTCTGCCAGGGAGAGCGGTAGTATTGGGAACCCTAAAATAGGAGTTTTCTGGCCCAGAGCCAGAAGTGTTGAGGTCAGGAACACTGCAGTTGGAAACTCTGAAACCAGTTTTTCACTGAGAAAGCAGACTTCACCCTGCCGCTGGAAAAAATCAGGCTTGACCTTGCCATGGGGGAGAAATTCAGGGGGAGCTTTTTCAGCGTGTCTGGTATAGGCAGTTTTGCAGATAGACCTTGGCATGCTGTTGCAATTTCCAAAATAAGCCAGATTTTCAGAAAATATATACAGTAGTTTTAAACTAAAAATAAAGCTTGAAGAAAAAAAAAAAAGGGCAATGGTTTTATGTGCAAGAATTTCCTAAACCCCGATTGCTGTAGTTTCAGGTATGATTGTAGCACGTGAGGAGGATATCCTTGATATAACGGGCACTCTTGTGGATCTCTGTGTGGAAAAGCATTTAGTATGTCTTGGTACTAAATGGTTATGAAGTCATATATGTATTGTTTATGGTCTCCTAATCCAGGATTTATTGTCCTGATCCTGTTCCAGAGCTAGGGACTTGAGTTGATTAAAAAAATAAGATTCTTCAAAGCTTTTAAGCAAATTGATTTACTCTGGCTTGAAAATTCTCATGTTCCCCAGATTTGTATTAGTCGGTGTGATTCTTGTATTCATCCATGTAATATTCAGTACTGGAAGGATTTTATGAATGGCACATATTACCTTTTAAAAAACTGCTACACTAGACTGTAATATTAAATACTGATGAAGCAGGTGGAAAATTACTATTAGTTATACCTAATACATTGCCATTTTGTTTCTTTCCGGAGTGGGAAGGACAACCAAGACAGTGAGCCAACTTGGTTACCTGCAGTTTTCTCTGTGCTATTCTGTACAAGTGCAATCAAAAAGAAACCAATCTGTTGATAATTCCCACTGCCAGCTCAGTCTCTATGCCTGGCAATCCCCTGCCCTTCTGCACCTTCCTAATTACATGCTGAACAGCGTTCCTTCATTTTACGCTGTGATGAGATCTCTTATCTCCCCTCTTGTAAAAGAGTTGTCTGAGGAGCAGCCAGGAGACCAGCACACCTCCCTGACTCGCCGGTCTCCCAGCCCCAGGGTGGACGTGGAAGAGGTTGCCTTGTTTGCCTTGTTTGTGCTTCCAGTTTGCTGCCTGGCTTTAGCAGTGATTTGGGAGGAGGGAAGCTGCCCATCAAAATGCAGTGCAGACTGACCTTATTGTTAAGAGGCTTTTCTTGATGTGTAACCCGAATTTTCTCCCCAGCAACCTTAGTAAACTATGCGCTTTTCTATTTGTTTTAGTCGCTGTGAGTGTGCAGAACAGACCTTTACCCTCCTCTTTAAAGACTGTTATCTTGTTTTCCTTCAGTTTTCCCTTTGCAGGCAGAACACCACCAATTACTAGTCTTTTCTCAAAGAAAGATAGCTTCCCCAGGGAGATATATTTTTATGCCAGTGCAACAATTGTCTTTATTACAGCAGAATGAGCTCATTGACCAGTGGCCCTCTGGTAGACCACTGTGATCTCCAGGTCCTTTTCTGCAGAATTCTTCTCTAACTCATCATTCCCTGTTTGCATAGTTTATTTTCCTGCAATAGTGGAGAAACTTGTATTTGTCCTTACTAAATTACATTTCCAGTCTTTTCTCCAGGGTAACAGGAACCTTTCAAATTATGATCCTGCTGTGTGGTGTACTTGCAGACCATCTTGTTTATGCTGTCTATAACTGTAATAAGAGCACTCTGTTCCAACCTTTAAGTCATTATGAAGAATATTGGATAATACCTGCCAAAGACAGACCCCTGTGCAAAGCCACTCAAAATACATACCACAGTTTTGGCATTGAACTGCTGTTAACTGTTCTCTGGGTGCCATTTTTTAATTACACGTCCCAAGATTGTTGATGGAGGTGCCAGAATATTCTGCAAAGCAGTATTAAAAGATTTGCTACAACATGTATGACATATATCATATGACATACACAACATAAATGACGTTTATTGCCTGAGCAATCTTCTGCATTTGTAAATGTGGAGGGCGGTTGTAAAGACATCATTTCCACAATCAACTGTATTATCTAGTGACTGAAAAATGAGATTTCATTTCATTAGGAAGTTACTGGAATGTTTCCACAGCAAGTTTGCTAGAAAGAATAATATTGGCTTCTCTGAAGCAAGGTTCTTGGTTATCACAGCATTTGCATTAATTCTAACCACTTGTGTACATGCACAAGCTTATCATGCGTTGTGACAGCACGCAAGATATAAAAAAAAATAATAAAAAATTGCACGTTTGAACTCTGGTTTATGGTTTATGTTCTAGCTGAAAGTGCCATTCCAAGACACAGGAATGTTTTCAGAAGCATAGGTGATTATGTCCTCTTATGTTACATGGTAGTCTACAGAATATTAAAGAATTTTCTAAGGCCTTTTTAACAATCTTAAAAACTCTTAGAAGAAAGTTATTAATCAGGCAGACAGCTCACTTCCATGCCTTCCTTTCATAAGGATTTTGTATCTCATTAATTAAAATTGTTTGCATTAAAGTAGTTTAACGGGAAGAAAGGACTTATGTTTCTAATGAATTTGCCTGTAGTTTGATTAACTTCGAAGAATTTTTTTAAATTACTGTATTATGCAGGGCAGATTCTTTTAAGGACTCTAGGACATTTTAATGAATGTTTATAATTAAATGATAGATGAACTTACCGTATGGTTGGAAGCGCAGTTGCTACTTTGCAAGGTTGAGTTCCTTTATGTTTTATGACTTGCAATGTTTTATGTATTACAAAATTTTATGTAGTATGTTAAGCCTTTGTTATCTCTACTCAGCTTGTCGTGAGGTATGGACTTTATGGTCTCCAGGGGATGTTGTCTTTGGTTAAGTTAATGTAATAAATGGAGGAGAATCTTGCTTTCCTGTCAGCTTTCATAAAACTTTAGTGCCAGCTTTACAGTCCCTGAGCATTATCAGCAAGGAATAGCTGTATTAATAATTAGCGTGTCCATTGCATCCCTAAAATATGTGTCAAAAGAAAATGAGTGTGAAAGCATGTGGAGTTCTGTGGGTTTAAATGGTGTTAAACATTACCACATTAAGTTAAAAAATACAAAGTCGTTCTACTTACGTACTTAAAATATTTCAGTTTAAAAAGCACAAATGCATTTTTAGCTGTATATTTATTTGGGGTTTATTATTGTTGGTATATTCCGTTTCCTCATTACAATATTTTCTTTTGTGTTCTTCCTAGAATGGCTTTACTCCTTTATATATGGCAGCTCAAGAGAACCACATTGAAGTGGTGAAGTATCTCCTGGAGAATGGAGCCAACCAAAGCACAGCTACTGAGGTGAGGTATATTGTTCGTTTTTTTACACGCACTCCTACTTTCCTTTGCCTTTCTATTCAGATCACTTAAAGTCAGAAGATTTTTTCAAACAGAGTATTTTGAGAACTTTCAGACTTTCATTTCAGTGAGTTGTATTTATGAATCTTATCCTTTTTTTCTACATGCACAGAAGACAAGGGTGAACTGTTCTGGAAGTGGTGAAAAGTCAAGGGATGAAATCCGGCCTGATTAATTTGACAACAAAATTTCCACTGACTTTAGTGAGCTCAGGATTTTCACCTTCAGTTTGTGCCCATTTCTCCTATCAGCTTCCTGGAGAATTTTCTGAAAAATGAATGAGGCTTTGAAGAGAGGTCCCTAGGGCCATAGAAATTATACTAGGCCAAGGTCGTATTGCCAGGCAAATGGAGTGAATAGTAGATCGATCATAGGCTGAGAGGAGACGTACAACATTTCATTTGAACAGATTTACGTCTCCAACAAAGCCCGTGGAAACTCAAGCATCTAGGAGTCCCATCACCTGAGCAACATGGCTATCTTTGTGCTGGTTTTTCATTTGCACTGTAAGATCTGGGCAAAAATCAGTGAACAGAATATCTTAGCGTCTATCTCCTACTCTTGGCTCTACAAGGGGTCTTCTGGGGACAGTGGTTTGGAGGCTTGCTTCAGCTTCTTCCTCAGCCAGCTGAAAAGTGTGTGGAACATAATGTGTATATCATAATTAGGACTACGAGGACTGTGTCCAGAAGGGTGTCTGTGTATAGTGTAAAATAGTACAGAAACGATTAGTATCAACAGTTAGTTGTTGACAAGCTTTCTTGTAGACTGGGTCTTGAGATTTTTGATGAGTTCAGAATATTTTCTGCATAGAGAGAAAGAGTGAGAAACAAGCAAGTATGTGCATAAAAGCAGTGAGTGGAGTAGGCTCTCTGTGGTGCTGGGTTCACAGAACCATTCAGTTAAAAAGGGGCCTCAAGAGGTCACTTACTCCAACCTCCTGCTCCTGTTCTGCTAAGTGAGGAGTGGTGGCAGCTGGACCTCCCTGACCAGCTAAGTTACTCTGATTCTGAGGCTTGTCTGTGACTTTGTGTAACCTATGAATATTCATTATTGTCTGTGATTAGCATAAATTGGAAATCAAATGACTAACAAGGATCACATCAATGAGCTCAGCAGGCAATGTGCTGTTTTCTTCTCGGACACTTTATTTCTACTGCCAGACCACGTGGGTATAAATATGCAGAAGGATGGTATTAATTGCTAGGTTCTGGATTTAACTGCAGTGCTGTAAACCTGCAGTAACTTCAGTGCAAGCAGGGCAGACACTGAAGTAAGAGAGATGAGATTTCATCTCAAGAGGAACTGAATCATAAGAACTTCCTTCTGCAAATGAGAGGATTTGAAGGCCATGGGGAAAGCTCCTAGGTCACGAGGACTGTGCTCATTCTTTTTCCTCCTCTTGTTCTCTTCCTGCCAAATGTTCTTTTATTCCAAGATAAGGGGATGAGTGAACAGGCTCTGAGCTGCAGTGTGTTGGCTTCATGTGTGTTCTGTGGATATGGATGTGCCATGTGAAGTCGTAATAGGAAAGTTCCTCTCCTGTCAGAGCTTTTGCTCGTGTTTATTACTTTCCCTAGTCTGTACAGAAACTTACCCATTCTGGATTGCCTTCACAACAGATGAATTTGAAATGATGGTGCATGTATGCTCGCTCTCCTTTCCTTTAAACTAAACTGCTAGTGTTAACAGCTGCTTTACTGTCCCTTCTTTCAATGGATACTGTACCATTTGATGACAGCTCCTAAAATAATCCTCTCGTGGCCTGCATATATGGCGATCACGTTACATGTCAGCTTTCTGAAATATGAAATCCCGTGTGATTGCCAGGCAACGTGGCAGAAACACACTCCTTGTGAAGGAGCTGAGTGGAACTGTGGCTCTCCGGGAGCCTGGCCCAGCTACAGCGTACAGTCGCCTGCTTGCAGCCTTTCTCCTGGTAACTTTTACTGGCTGTGATGATCAGGTACACTGGAAGCTCATTCATGAGTTTACAGGAACTGTGAGGCCGAGATGGTTGTAATTAATGTGGCCTCTGGTTGAATATAGACATCCAGGCATCACTGCAACTCACAGTATAGTCTGCTTTAAGGGTTGGGGGAGGAGAGGAATCAAATGCCCCCCACTCTGAACCCGAGTCCAAGTCTGTCTTCTGCCATCAGAAAGGTCAGTTCTCGCTTTTGTAGCTTGGAAAGTAAAGGCTGTCTACCCCCTCATCGCTTAACTAGATAAGTTTTGGTTTCAGGTCTTGCGGACTTGATAGTTTCACTGATTCGAGTGTTACCGAAGGATGGCCTGAGCCACTGTCTGCTTTCACACGTGCCCAGAATTAGTCTCACGAATAGAATGAAGAATGATACATTAAATAAGGTGGGATGGCAGCCTGAACTGAGGATAGCACCCGAATACATGGAGAAGGACCTTCTGTTTGGCATCAAAGATTGGCTGTCCTCACGTGGGGAAATGAAATGCTTTCTCCAAGCTCTGGTCAGCCCTGCTTTCCAGAAGCAATGGGAGAGGGAATGCGGAAAGAGTTGTGTCCTTTTAGAGAAGGATGGAAGATAAAGTGGTGCAAATCACATAGATGGTCTTGTCTGTGAAGCTTTGCAACTTGCACTGCCTTTGGATATGTTTCTTTTCTTCTAACACTTATATACATATATATACAAAATGAGAGTAAGGATGAGCTCAGTTTCACGGGGCCTCTAATCCAGGATTTGTTCTCATGTTCCCAGAGGCGAAAGGCAAATGCATTAAGCCATTTCAACACCTAATGTAGCCCCAATCTCAGAATTATCTTTACAGTTCAGCTGTTTCGTCAGCTGTTCACCCTTTTTTAATTCACTGTACAGAATTTAATCTCTATTACAGACAGAAACCATAGTAGTATCGCTGTTACAACGCACCTACCCACAGTTCTACGCAAAGGGGAGTGAATGTTATTCGATTACTAAGGGGAAAAATTGCTTTGGCAATTCTTCACATGTTTCCTTCAGCATATGTTAGCTCTCATTCCTTCCTAACTTGTCCTTTATTATTTTATCATCTTTCCATATTCCTATTCCAAATCAATTCTGTCTCATTCCCATGCCTTTTACAATGTATCTAAATCGGTTTTCTCACTTTCTGGCTATAATCAGCTCTTTAGTTGTTGTTCCTTCTGACCTAGACATAGAAGACCTTGTTTTATTCCCTGCCCTTTTCTTTCGTTGTTACTCACCATGCCTCTGTTCACAGACTCAGCTGCTCTGTGCTCGTGGTTCAGCTGCCCTCCAATCTAGCATGCAGTTACACCACATATGTGCTTGGGCAGCATGCAAGGCTGGAGCTAGATTCAGTTTTATGGTCAGAAGAAAAGATATGGGAGCAGGCCGTACTTCAGCTGAGATAGCAGGTTGTGACCATGTGACGCATTTTAAAGCATTGGCAATCCGGGGCATGTGTGGAGGAGCAAGACAACTTAAAAATAATTTTGAAACAAAGCTAAAACTCTGAATGAAAAGCAGAGACATTTTTCTGACTTTGTTTTTTCAAAAAGTATAAATAAGCTAATGTTTTCCTGCTTCAAATTAGAATAAATTCTTAAAGATGATCTGGCTTTCTTGACTTATAGTCCATGTGTAACTTAGAACGGGGAACAGCAGCAAATGCATCCGAAGATATGCTTTCTTTTTGCAGAGACGTGAGGTGGTATTCAGAAACAGGTTCCCTGTATATTTTTCACATCTACTTTGTTCAGTGCTCACTAATCCCTACCAAAATATTGCTAAAAATGTGCTTTGTGCTCCATTTTAAGATTAGAAGTAATTAAGAGAGGTACTGTAGGACGATGCTTTGCTTGTACTTGACTTTAAAAAGAGACTACTTTGAAGTGGAAAAAGTGTGCTTCTGACATGTTTGAAATCATATCTGGGTTAAAATGTTGTGCCTCTGTTATCATTTCACTGGAGACAGTGGTGCAGAGGTAGAAAACAGCTGGTAATGTGCTTATCAAATTTCTTGTGTGAACAGCGCTGTGCAAATCACTGGAGCAGTACGTCCTTCAGCTTACTGAGCACACCTTGTTTTCTTCTCTACCAGGATGGTTTCACTCCTCTAGCTGTTGCATTGCAACAAGGACACAACCAGGCAGTGGCCATCCTCCTGGAAAATGACACGAAGGGGAAAGTGAGATTACCAGCTCTGCATATTGCTGCTAGAAAAGATGACACCAAATCAGCGGCGCTTTTACTGCAGAACGACCATAATGCTGATGTGCAGTCCAAGGTAACATGATGCTGCCATAGAGGTAACAGGGTAGTCACGCAGCTGAGTGCCGACGGGCAACAAACTTTACTTCCTTTGTCTTAATGGTTGAAGGTAATTTCCTCTGCGGGGAAAGACAAGTTGCTCGACCAGTATCACCAGTAATGTATCTACTTTTGCAGTGTTTAACTACATGGTAATTGCAAACTACTCATTTTTCTGCTTTTTAGTTATACCTCCCATTTTTTTGGTAACCAGCTTTCTCTCATTATTTGTAAATCAGAAGACACTGGAATGGAAGCAGAATCACTGTTTCCCTATTAAATAGGATACTGGTTTATTGCCCATGGGACCGTAGGTTGTATTTAAAGTTAATGCATGCTTGAATGGCTTTTCCCATAATTAACAGCATAACTCATTTCAAAAAGCAACATAGTTCTTCGTTTTGCGGCCAGTCTTTAATATTGTTCCTCTTTTTCCCAAACCATGCTGCATCAGATGATGGTGAATAGGACGACTGAGGTACCGAGATAAAAAATTTTTAATTACTCTTTCTGTTACTTGTAATTTTCTCTGCTTTGTGGCAATATTTCTTTATTACTTAGTACTGAAAGTGAAGATACGACTCTTCTAATACATAGAAATACGTGACTCAGCAAACCTATTTTTATTCATCCTTTGTCTTAGAATTTCTTTTTATTTGTCTCACTATTAAAGTAAACTTTTGAGAATTCACATCAGTTCAAAGAAGTCTGAAGTGCGTAATGGAGCTAAGAGGATAAAGATGCTTTTCTAGCTCAATTTCATTAATTATGAAAATGCACTCATTTGGCCTAACTAAATTAAGGTGTCTGGCTCAGCCAGAATAATGGTAAAATTAATTTTCCTTCTTTTACAATAATAAATATAATCTCATCTTCCAAGGTGGAAACCTGTTCAGAACATCTGCTCATTTTTACCATTGTTCTTATTACAATCTTTTAAATAAAGTTTTGAAAAGTCCTTAAGGGATAGCACATAATCAGAATTCACCTGCAGCAGATAATATTACATTTCTCATACGGATTCTGGAAATACCAATTCTCCAAGCACTTCCACTAAAAATCATGGGTCTGATTCACTAGAACTGTGATTTTTTTTTTCCCCCTAAAGATTGTTGTCATGCGTAGGAAGAAGAATTATTTCCAAGAATGCAGTCATTATTTGAATGCCTGCTTTTAAATAATGGCATTTCTCTGTTAGATGAAGGAATGAATTTTGAATGCCCACACCCATGTGAAAGTGCTTCACGCTTGGTGTGTGTGCACATGAGCAAGCGAGGCAGCTGGCGATGTGAACTGAAAGGGTGACAGCTTCTCTCTGGCATCTTCCCATGGGCATGTTCTTCACTATGGTGAATGGGAAGGGGGGTTACCTGTCCTTCACTGGCCATTACGTTACGTCTCAGGACCTTGCGTTTGTCACCAGGCAAATGTGTGTCCACGAGAAGGCAGTTGTTAATGCAATATGCATTCAATCTATAGCTTAACACAGTATCATTATTTGTGTGCCTAATATCCTCAGTAGACACTGCCCTGGTAATTTATCACAGCAAGAAGACTATGAATTTAATGAGTGTTTGACTGTACCTTGACCAGGATCATCTGTGGGCTGACAAGGAAGTGAATGGAATTAGGGTAAAATAGTAGGCTGATTGCCGTAGCTTTTGGGAACAAAATTGATTTCAGAGTGCATCATCTGCCTACATTTCTTTATTCCGTGAGTAGTTTAAAATAATGATTTGTATACTGAAAGAAATGAAACCTAGTTGAAAATACAGTATAGTCTAGAAGCCAAAAGTATTTCTCTCTTTCTATAACTAACAGTAAGATCTGATCAAATCAGTGTAATGCTCTTCAGGGAAACCTCAAAAGCAAGATCCTTTCTACTTGAATTACTCATGAGACTAAAAGCTTGCTCTGTGTTCTAGCTTCTGAAAAATTAATCTTTTTTTTGTGTTGTTGTCAAGCAATTCTGTATCTCGTAGCTGGAGCAGGTTTCACCTTCTAGTGTTCAAGAGGCAATAAGTAAATTGTGTTTTTTCTGATGTATAGATGGCAAAGCTCCTTCACATCCTTTGAGATCCAAATTGTATATAAATATAAATGATTATGATTCTTATACTATGCTACTAGTTTCTCATGTACACCAAATTCTTGGGTTACACGTTGAATTACACTGCTTTTTCAAAAAAAAAAAAAAGAAAAAAAAAGAGGGAAATATGTTATCAATATTTCTAAGAGTAGTAAAATAAGAGTCCAACAACTTTTGTGGTCATTTGTCCAAAACCAGTAAACAGATGCAGCCCAAAAGACCCATGTTGCTTCCAAATAAGGAAACTTCCTTTATTTTCTTTAAGAATGGCTAATATATTAATATTTTCTATGATGAAAGCTACTCTTCTTATTGGCTAGTGATTCAGAAGATTGAATTGGAGAATGAAAGAATGAAGCACTTTTGATAACCTCTCATATGAAAACTGCACTGTCTGCCTGAAAGGTTGTGCTATATTGTAGGTGAACTGGTAAAATCAAAATGATACATTTGTTTGCCAGCAGCTTTTAAAAATCAAGTTCTAGTTAAGTTGATTATCTCTATAAAATGATTTCTATAATAAGGGCTGTTTCCCTTTGTAGAGTGGCTTTACACCTTTGCACATAGCTGCGCACTATGGAAATGTCAATGTGGCAACGCTTCTGCTAAACAGAGGAGCTGCAGTCGATTTCACAGCAAGGGTACGGAGTAATTTCTTTCTCTTCTTAGATGCAAAGGCCTACAAAAGTGGGAGTGTTTCTTTGTGTAATTCTTAGCCAAGAGTAAGTGAGGAGCAAAGTAATCCTGAAATTGTGTTGTGTTCAAAGTAATTCTTTTTCTGCAGTAATTCTTAAAGGTTGCCTCCATGCAGTACGCCAGAGTCCTTGGGAGTTGAGTAGCGACTAGTATTCCCAGCCCAAGGAAGCAGGCTCCAGAAAGCTGATATTCTCACAATGTGTCAACTCAGTTCAGCTATTCTGTCAGTTAGAAATACTCCAGAAATATATGTAGGATTTACTGGCTTATTCATTATTTACTGTACTATTTTAATTTGATATTTTCACATATAAACACATTTTAAAAAAGCAGAGTAAGGTACATTGCTATTATATAAATGCAACAATAAAAGTACTAATTAATCATGACTCCTCTTTTATGGTAAACAACTGCAGAGCTACGTAATATAGTCACTTTGCTGTTGTACGTTACATAGTTTGAAGCATGGCATCTGGTGCTATGAAAACCTCTGGTAATCTGTACCTCAACATAGCTACTGGATCATGAGTTTTCTGTTTAATTTTGCCAGATACACTTTGAATTAGTTTAGGCTTCTGCCTTTCAGACTGACTCCCTTCTGTTGCCATTCTGGAATAGCTGCTAATATTACCTCTTCCCTCTCCCAAAGTGTTTGCAAGGACTTTCAGCCTAAACAGGACCTACTCCTGTATACTATTGGCATTACACTAAGAAGGTTCCTTTGTGTAGGAGTCACGCATTTGTGTACTCTGTGTACGTTGCAATGAATTAAATGCATCAGTGTTTTGTGAATATTGACTCATTAGGACTCTGGTTTATGTTTGTTTATTTGTCTGACTCGGGGACTGTGATGTTTGCTGCTTTGGCAGGTGTGCTTCTTCATTTATTAAAAAACCCCAAACAATGAATAAAGATTCTTGCTTAGAAAGGAATTACTAACTCTAGCTTATATGGTGTGTGCCTAGCTCTGATGCTCAAGTACATTTTTGTTTATTCTCTACAATGTGATGGTCTCATTTTTTGTGATCCAAACACAAATTCACCGCCATTATACGCTTTCAAATCCATCATGCTCATTGTTTGTTCTTTTCATGGTGTAGAATGGAATCACCCCACTGCATGTGGCTTCCAAAAGGGGAAACACAAACATGGTGAAGCTCTTGTTGGATCGCGGAGGGCAGATCGATGCCAAAACCAGGGTGAGTCTTTCTATTCCCTGAATATGATGTTGTCCCTTCTTGGGAATGGATTGGGAGTTTTTGCTTGCTTGGTTTTGGTTTTTTTTTTTAAGGCAGAGACTGGGAACACCAAGATTCATAGCTAGGAATTCAGCTTCAGTAATTGTGTCTTGTTCTCTGTTCTTAGAGGGAGGCATTAGATGTGGCTGTTATAAATGACTCAAAAAAAAAAAAAAAAAAAAGTTCAGCTGAACACAGCTCCAAAAATGTTAATCACATATTCTTTTTGAAACTTGGGCCAAATTTAAATTGTGACTCCAAAAATAATTTATAAGTAGTTTTGTTTTCTTTTTTAATTCAGAATCCTACCTTTAGTTTTCAGATCGTTATTTGTTTTATGTAGACTGTTTTGTATGGTATCAGGCTAAAGACTGGCAGGTATTGGTGATAGCAGGAGGCAAAAATACTGTTTGCTTTAGTCTCCTGTATAATCTACCTACATCATATAAGAAAAAGCTTATGAAACTGATCTTTTTGAGGAAATAGGCTTGTTAGTTGGTCCAACTTCACGTGACACAAGAACATGTGTGCTGCACAGCTTTGGGGATGGGAGGGTCTGAACTCAGCTAAGGCTTTCAGTCCCCTGACTCCTAAATGTCTATGCCAGTCATAGTATATGAGGCATAGTATGCCTCATGAAAACCGCTGTAGTGGGCTGGCGGTCACTTTTTACTGAAGAGTCAATACTGGGAACGAGTAACCCACACTGTGCCAGCAGCCACTCACCTCTTCCCCAGCCTAACCACAGAGAATTAGGTGACTTTCACTAGCTTCCTCCACCCAGTTGTCCTGTTGAAATGCCACAGCAATACTGTGCTCTTTATTTATGGGTGATTTTGCAGTCATTCAGGACAAAAGAAAAACCTATCAGTTTATATGGGCAGGGTTAATTATTTCAAATGGGATTTTGGAGTCACCTAGGAAAACGTCATTTACGTGAACTGAACTGCACAGGACTTGTTCTTGAAAGCTGCTGGTTTTTAAGCACTGATCTGCAAAATTATATCTCCAAGTAATAGAGGACGTTTTAGAACGCAGAGTTCAGAGCTGGACATAAGAGGCTTTGTTTAATAAGATAGAACGGTAGAAGAAGGTAGAGGATGTTGCAGTCGGCTACCCTTGTGGTTGATTCAACCTCTGCAGTTACTTTGATATTAATTACAGCAATCATTTGTTGCTTCATAAGCTAGGAAGACAATTGTGATTATTATGTAACTCTATATGTGATTATGATTTTGATTTCTGATTATTTATGAAATTACGTCTCTCTTGCTCTTTTTATTTATCTATTTATTTTAATTACTGATGCTGGAAAATGCTGCCTCTCATGAAGGTGTGCAGTAAATCATCCCTGGTCAAATTTTCCACAATAAGTACCTAAAATCTCATGGTAAAGGGGCATGAAATGGTAATAATATGCTGCAGTCAGGATATTCCGCCTACTCATAAGCACAGTAGTCATACAGAAATGGTGCATTTGGCCTGTGGAATGACAGTATTGAATTCATCTATTTCCTGTTCAGTACTGAGATACTTGTTTTAGACAAGTTGGCGCAGATGATTGTGAAGGACATCTTGGATTTTAAGAGGTCAAGGTGTATTCCCTTCCTTGCTCACCCGCAAAGATTGACGTGCAGTTGTGAATGGAACTGAAAGAACAGGACTTTGCCCAACGTAGGTGGAAGGCGCTAATTTTAGAGTCTTCTCATTGTCTTGGCTTCCTGCCCTTTGTCAGCTGCTACATTAGTTCAAAAACTGCCAGCACAAAGATTATCAGTGAAAACCTGTAAAGGTATCCTAAAGCACACATATCCCAGTTTGCACAGGCTCAGCAGCTTCCTCTTGCTTTCATCTTCTGCCTTCGCCCTGCTCAAAGGCACACGCTGGTGGTCGGCTGCGTGTACTTCACAGTGGGGAAGATTCCAGAGCTTTGGTTTTGCTGCAGTGTGTCTGTGGCGTGATCTTGTCTTCATGCCAGCTGTTTATATCGTCTCGGTGTCTTTTTCTTTTCCCTTCGCTTTGTCCGCATGCCTTGTGTGCTTTGCTATGTCCGTGAGTATGTAGGGTATTGAAGAGGTAGGTTGTGTGTTGCATGCCGTGCATACATGTGTTTTGTACTTTAAAGGACAGACTTCCGCCTCCTCCACCTCGGTACTAACGTGCTTGCCTTTCCATACTCGCCTTTTCATTTCTTCTGAGGAACACTTGCATTCTTCCAGTAGGTCAGACACACTGCCCTGAAAAACAGTGGAATTACATGTACTAGAATATTTCATTGCCGGATAGCCTGGGCTTTTATTCTTGGTCTCCATACTGCATCAAAATAAGCTCTTTGGTTAAAAAAGGACTCGTTGCTTTCATTTAGTTTATTTTTAACTTGCTATATTACACGACATCTGATGATGCATAAATTAAGATGCAAAAAACTTATTTTACCAGATTTTAGATGAGCCTTAGTACTTTAATTTTGCAGAGTTAATCTGTGAAATCTTTTTATGTTTGAAAATGTTCCATTGGAATGATCCGTTAGGAGCCCCTGTATTGTCTAAAAAAGAGAAATTAAAATGTATGTTCTTCAAAGGGAGTAAATTATGCATGTGTCTTACTGTTCCATAGTTAATGTTGCATGTCAGAGGAAAGCCCTGCTTACTGCAGGAATTACATGTTTATATTTTCTGTACATTTCATAACGTATTTGCTGAAATTTTATGGCATTTCTCACTAGATTATACAGATGTAGAGTTGCTAGTAAATCTGCTTGCTACACTTAAAATACTAATTTACTTAATTTTTTTTGGCAAGTTTAACCATTTTTCTCAACTAACTACTAAATAAGTTTCTAAAATGTGGAATTTAATTTCTTTTTTATATTGTGTCTAAAGCAAAAATGTGAACTCCATTCCCAATTATATTAATGGGATACTTTTATTAGTACTATCTGTTACATCTGTGTTTGTGCTACTTCTGTTCACATACAAGCCTTATCTGGAGTCTTGTTTGCTAAGCAATTAATGGGTAAAATTTCTTACGCTAAAACATTTCATATTTAAAATCTTAGTCAAACCTATATTCTCTACAAGTTTACGTGAGTAGAGAAATTCAATGACATATGTTTGTTTAAAATCTTAAAATTAAGCTAAACTTCTGACCCGTACAAGTTACCATGGTAGACCAGTGGAGTTGGGTTTCAGAAGCAATTGTGCAGACTGTGGCTTGGAATCAGTATGCAGAAACTTGTTCCCTAAAAGATGGCAGAAAGTTCAATTTATGATTAAATTGATGTCATGTGGTCAAGAGTAACGTGGCAATTATCAATTCTCACTTTGAGAGAACGAAAGCATTTACAGCCTTCCTGAAACATAGTGAGGATTATTACAGGGAGAATTATTTTAAGCATTTAAAAGCAGAGCAATTTCCATATGGCCAAAATATATCTATTTCTATTAAAAAAATATAATCTGATTTAACGGGATAGTAACAGTAAGGATATGCAGGATGTTGAAATCTTACTGACTATTAAAGGATTTTACGAGTATTCTTTATGAATGCAGTTTTTGTAATATCTCTGTTTTTATCATCTCTATATAAATTGTCTAGGAAAAAAAGAACAAGAGAACAAGTATGTGAGGCTTTTTTAGTTTGGGTATGCTTTTTTACTTTTAAAATACAGTGTTATTCGCAGGCTTTTGTCACTTTAGTGGTATTTCTATTTTTGTGGGACTATGCAAACACCCTGAGAAGCGGGGGAGGAACACGTTCACCTGTCTCAGACGCTGAAGTTGTCACACATTTTGTGTTCTTCCTATTGAATCTTGCCGACATTGAAATTAAATTTTTCTAGCTCTGGGACTTTTCTTCAGACTCCTCTTGCAGGCTCTTGTCCAGAATATTTACAGTTGAAAAAAAAACCAACCCTGGAATGAAACCGAGCGTCTAGTCTTGGAATGGAAAGCTTATTGTGTGGGAAAGTAAACATGTTGTGTGCCTGGAGCGTGGCAGCTGGAGCTGGAGAGGGGAGTAGACGTGATAATGGTGGGGAGAAAATCTGGTATGCCATTTGTGTTGGAGAAGGGCCACAGAAAAGAAAGGAGGCTCAGCTGGAGCTGAAAGAAGTGGAACGTTGGTCACAGAGATGTATGATACCAACAGGAAAAGAAAAGGAAGGAAGCTGCGGGGGGGTGGAACTTGGATTTTGGTTTGGTTTGGGGGTTTTGTGGTGAATGTGCTCAAGACACCCCTTAACACTCATTCTGGGAACCTATTGACTTTTATTTGTAATAATGTCTCCTTTCATATATATTCATCCTGCCAAAATAGGCATGGCTCTCTGCTATTTCCACATGGTAGTGGGTTTCCTACCATAAAGCCATTGTAGCAGGATCCTAACCCTCTCTTGGCACTATGCTATGTTTACAGTGTTTTTTTTCCTGCAGTAATGCTGCTGTGACATTTTCTCCTAGTCTTCACACATGCACAGACCACTAATAATTCATTGGCAGTTTTTGCCATTCCTAAAGCAATGTCAGACTATAAATATCTAATCACGATGCAGATATTTTCTGTAAAAAATATAGTAGATTCATACAATGTTTACAGGGGAGTGGGAAGGGATGTTGTACAGATTATCTAAGCAAGCTACATTGATAGTGACTATTATTTAGAATTATTTATGTCAATATCTTATTACTCAAGCAAATGCATGGTATTTTTTTTGCTGTATTTTTAAAATTTGTATGTTGAACGGCAGACCTGGAGGAATACTTTAGAGCGTGGTTAATTATGCCAAGACTCTGAGAGCTTAAAGCAAGAGGGAGACTTGCCTTGTTCATTTTTACACAGATGAGGTTTCATAGTAATGAAAAATGAACAAATGAAAAGGCCTTTACTTGTGGAGAAAATTTAGACAATTTTGCATGTCTAACATACAGAATACTAAAATTTTATTTCACCCTTATAAAAATGAGACTATGCAGCTGCAGTTTAGAAGAATTCTTTGATAATTTGGCCTTTAATGTTCATGTGCTATCATCAGTCTTGGTTCAAATGAGCGCTGAATGTGAGGAACTGTCCTTCTGTTAAGATGCTGCCCCTATCATTTTCCATTAAGAATCTCTTGTAAGCACAGTTTCTTTTTATCTCAGTCTCTGGTAAGCTGAAGTAAAGCATTTTAGTCACTGTGAAATGCCCCAATAATTTATCTTCCTGAGCCGTGCAGTTAGAAGTCATGGACAGAATTCAGAATTAATTTTGCAGGTTAAAAAATGACCAGTGATTGATTTTCAAGAAAAAAAGGCAAAAGTTTACCTTCTATTTTGAGAGCCATTTAAGAGGAAATTAGAGTGATGGAATTTCATGGCTTCCATACATACAGAGAGGATTGTAGCGTCATTTCTAACAGTGAACCAGCTATTGGTTACATTGCAAAGCGTGAGCTAGGAGAGTACCACATACAGGAACAACAGAACACCAGGTGCAGGATGTCACCTGGAAGATGAAAACATTTAACTTTCCATTATATACTGTTTGGGATGAGGAAGTAAATATTGGACTTATTAAAATATAAGATTGCTGAATTTCTTGTCTCCCAGCGCAGCGGCCTTTGTGTTTATGGGATATCCATTATCTGTGCTTCAGAATTTGTGTCTCTCTGACCCAGTGTTGTATGTCCTGTCAAATGATGTGTTTGATATTTTGGTCAGCAAGTGTTCTTCAATTTACATGGTGTACCAGTTAGCAACGGAGTGATTAAAAAAGTGCATAGACATACTCCTGCAATGGACTTCAGAGCACTGAGGTTCATTGCAAATAGATAATGGTGCAAACCAGGACTAATTCGGTATACCAGTTTGTTTCTTGATGTTGGCTAATGTCAGTTTGTCCTCATTGTATTATGTACTAATTCTTCTGGTAGAACAGCTCTTTGCAATTTCCCTCATCTTTGAAGAAAACATATAAGCAAAGATAGAATCTAAGGTATTAAGTATACAATAATTTTGAAATATACATGCTCTTTTCCCCAGGGCAGAAAGAGGGAAGAGGGTTATATGGGAAGGCTGCAAAGCATATTGCTTCACTCACCTACTGGAAAGTGCACAGATAGGAAATGATGATGCATTTATAAAAGCTATGACAGGATAGAATAGGATAGGTAGCAAATTTTTATCTCTACTTTCAGAGGTAATTATAGATAAGAACAGAGGAGAAATCATGCTTTTTAATGATTTAGTTCTTATTTTTGTTTTAGCTAGACTTTCTTGTGGAGTTGATGTGTTTCTTAGCTTGTATTTTACTTCTTTCTTCTCCCTCTGGGGATTTGTCCTGTTTTTTTCAAGGGTTCCCACAATTCTATCTTTCTTTTGCTGTTTTATTAAATAGAATAACGTCAAAGTCACTATGCAGGTAGGGAAAGTGAACGTCCCACATAGATTAAAAATGTGGAGCACAAAAGGCCGGAAACTGGAAAGAAATACCAAATAAATACCTTTCCTAGAAATAAGTTTGGGATATATTCTCACCCTAGTAATGCTAATGGGAATTATGGGTATGAATCCCTCTGGCAGCAGGATGAAAATATACCTCAGTTGTGCTTATAAAGACTTGATTTAGGGGACACTGAAGTTTCAGTGCAGAAAAAAGAAACAGATCAGCTAGTGACTCCCAGTTCCTTTACACTGACCCAATCTGCCAGGTGTTGAACAGGCTTGAATTCTGCTTGCAGGTTTGATCTTGCATCTGTTGAATTTCATTGCAAAGCTTCCCTGGGATTTAGTGATGCCTCTGCCTCTGAGATAGTGAGCATCAAGGCGCACCTAACCCTGTCATGTGTTTCTGAAATGTCTCTGGAAACAGTAGATAAGTAAGGGAGAAAAAACTGAAGGGAGGACTTCAGTTCTTCACTGCAGTGGAGCTTTGTTGCACTTCTGACTCAGAAAGATGCTCTGTGCTTTTGAACCTGAGGATGAAGGAGGATCTACTTCTTGGAACTACCTTTTGTAGAGTATTACAGGGCTATGTTTGCATAGACAAAATGATGTTGCAATTGCAATGGCACTGTGCAGTCTAGAGCTACTTTGAATTTAAAAATGTTAGTAGAAATAAAAATATAGCAATGTAGACTTCCTCCAAACTCCAGCAAGGCAAACAGTCTATCTGTGTATGAAGCAGGATCTCTACCTCGTACTTAAGGCCATGATTTTGCATTTTTGCTACTTTTTTTAACTTCTAAGTAATAAATCTGTCTCAGACCAGTATGTTCATCTTTTAATCAGGCTGTTACTGAGTTCTTCAGAAAGCACCCTAGAATAATAGCATCTACCTCATCTAAATGAGCAGTGTGTCTCAAAGGGAGAAGGCTTTTCTTGTGATTAAAAACTATTACCATTTCACCTTTATAAACCTATCTCTGTTGAATGAGTATTGATGACTTCTCTGACTCCATGCCTGAACAATATCGAGGTCTAACGAGATGAAAACTTGGGCTTCTATATTTTATGTATTTTCTTTTTTCTGTCATTCAGCACTAATATCCTTTTGCAACCATTTTTCTTGCCTCATATTTCCTGTATTTTTCTGTATGAAGTCCAAACTGTAGCAGAATTGCCTAGAATGCATTCTCCTAACTAAATGTTTCATTGACACATCTTTTGCTGCCACTGCTGTAATCATTACTGAGTAGCCTAAGCAAGTCTTTTGGTATAGGGTGGCATTCTGCAATGGAAAAAATATTGCAAAGTTGGTGGTCTCACAGCAGTTTTAGCAAAGAATTGTTAGCCCTTCGTTCACCACTCAATTGCAGAAATGAAAGGTTTTGTTCTGTTTGTTTCTTTTTCTCTGTTTTAAAATCTTCTTTCTCCTGCTGCCTGTTTAAAAAAAAATAAATTCTAGAGTAAATTTTCTCATATGAACATTTCTGGTTTCATCCCTGCATCAAAAGCAATCCAAAGGACAAGGACTGATTAATGGAGCATCCTTGGCCCAGCACACATTATCCAGGGAGAGGCAATACAATCTCAAAGCCATGCAGAGGAGAAGGAGGGGAGGAGGCAATGCATGATCTCATTATCCTCTTTGATAAGAGATTTCAACACACAATAGCTTCCTCTCTGAAACAGTAACCTTAAAGTGTCCTTTACTGGTGCAAGGAAGAACAGGGATGAAACTTCATATGTTGGAGCCAGGTTTAGTTAGGAGTCTAAAAAAAAAAAGGAGCTTCTTCACACGCTTGTGGGGCTGCATTCCTGGAAGGCTGTTCCTCAGAGTGCCAGGACAGACAGCTGGGGATGTGCTCATTTGTTTTCCCTCCTTTAACTTTAAGGATGGACTCACCCCACTCCACTGTGCTGCAAGAAGTGGACATGACCAAGTTGTGGAGCTGCTGCTGGAACGAGGTGCCCCGCTGCTTGCACGGACCAAGGTGTGTGTCTTATTAGATAGAATATGTTAACAGCTCTATGTAACTTTCCACAGAATTTTCAATGTCACTGAAAGGACAAGGAACATTTCTGTTCTCCCAAAGGAAATGTATTAATGGGTAGAATGATCCCAAATAAGGTTTTCTTACATAATTAGGGACTATCCTTTCCAAATATATGAAACAGTATAAGCTTCTTTGCCCCTCTCTATAACATCAGACTAAACACATGCTATATAGTGCTACTGCAAGCACTTCACTTTTGTTGCTTCCTAAGACCGGAGGACACAGAGATTGGAAAGCTGGGTCAGTCACTCCCGAGCGATGGTTCCTGGTATTTATTTTCCGATCCTTCATGTAAGCTAACTAGAACCTGTGACTTGCAGCTTCTCCTAGTTGTTTTCATGGACTGTTTCAGACTTGGAAAATGATTTCAGTGTGTTCCTACTGATTTCTGAAAAGCACACATCTAAGATTAATGCATTTCCTACAAATACTGTCCCTTTGGTCAAACTAATGAGAGAAAGATACTTATAGTATAAGAGCAAACCCCACTGAGCAGCACTTCAGTAAATTTCAGAGTGCCTGACAAAGGTAGCTGGTATCATTAGTTGGAAAACAGTGAGACACAGTATTGCAATGATAGGTTTGAGGTCCCCCGGAAGATCAGGAGGGACAAACAATTTAAATATTAGTTTCAGACCATTACACAGTTTATGGGGCCCCACTCCCTCATACATGGCTCAAAACAAGGGCGATTGGTGTATTTTGACCCATAGTTATCCTTATTGGAGACTTAAGATTTTCTCTTTATAGTCTTTGGGAGGTTTTATCCCTGGGTTGCAAGCATATCAACCACATCAAATAAGGATGTGCTCAAGCTATGCATCCTTGATAGCACCAAGTAGTCCAGGTCATCTGTTTACGCAGGAGGGATCCACAGGGAGATGGCAATTGTAGGGAAAAGATTCCTTATAGTTTCACTGATTCCTTTGATGGGAGAAGGTGTTTAGGTGAACCTCATGTGTCAACACCCTCACTTCTCTAAGAGGTAGAGAGGCTCAGAAGAACCGACCCTGCCACATATATTGTGCACACTTCAGGCAGGCTTACCAGATGTTGCCAGTCAGGACAAAATATCAGTGTTGCTGTGGCAGCATCTGGATGTCCCCACTGTGTTGAGGACTAAGCAGAGCAGAACTGTCTGGTGAATAACTCCCTCCTTCCAGGTGACATATAAACAATCAGTTTGACCACACCAAGTCAGTTACCTGCTCAATTCTATATGATATAGTCTACCTTCAAAGATGCAGTGCTTTTTAAGTACCTTATTGCATGTAAAATGAAAATAAATTTGAAAGCAACTTCCTCTTCTAACTTACAGCTGAAACAGGTGGTTCCAAACTGGAGACAGACGAATATGTAAATATAAAAACAATTTTTTTCTGAAAACAACTTGTTATACATATTAATAGCAACAATTCTCTTTCTTCTTAATTGTCTATCTTCCATGGACTTCAGTATTTACAAAAAGATCTATTAAAGCCAGACAGGGCTATAAAACTCTTGCTTCCACTGCCCTTTAAGTGTTACGGTTTGAACAAAAGGTCCAACCATGGTGGTGGTTGAAGGTATTGTTACCCAGAAGCTCAGGGGTCAGGTTTGTCAATATACATCTTTTTTTTCACTGAGCACTTAAAGAAAAGAATATAGGTTCGTTACTAAATACGGTGATGGGTAAGTAGGTGCTTTTCTGCTAATTAACATACGACCTATGTCTTAGTGTTATGATGAGTATCCCCACAACTGTCTTTTAAGGTCAAGATATGTTTTATTAAATCATGAGGCAAGACCCTTAGATTCTTTTGCTTTGAATAAATTCTGATTTTAGTTAATTATATGATGTTCCTCTAAATTTGCCTGTATTTGCTGGAAGGGGAGGGGTGGCTATAGCTTTTTTCAGTTTTTCCTCCAGTCCATAGCTCAGATGAGGCTCTGTTTCAGTGATGGGGGTACTCTGCAAACTCCTGATGGCATCCTTCTAATATATGCCACAATCTAAGTGAGAGTTACTAGAAGTTACTGTTCTGTTTTCTTTTGCCGCAGAATGGACTCTCTCCGCTTCACATGGCGGCCCAGGGGGACCACGTGGAATGTGTCAAACACCTACTGCAACACAAAGCTCCCGTGGATGATGTCACGCTGGATTACCTGACTGCCCTCCATGTGGCCGCACACTGTGGCCACTATCGTGTCACCAAACTCCTTCTGGACAAGAGAGCAAATCCTAATGCTCGTGCCCTGGTAAACCTGTCCCACCTGTATAACAAAGCTATCCAGGGCAGATGAGTAGCTCTTACTGGTAAAGCTAAGTGAAAACTCTGTCAACAAACTCCACCGACCTTAAATAGTTGCAGTAACAACAGGGGTTGTCACACCTGCTGGTTACCAGTATTGTATCTTGTATCATTGGGCCTAGTCACGGACCACGTCCCATGGCAAGTGGCTGTAGTATCAGGTCTGGAAGCTCTACAGAGTTCCTAAAATGAGAGCCATTTCTAGTTGATGCTAACATAGCCATTGGTATTTTACTGAATTAATAGTTCGGTTTTCCATACTATGTGATATGATACACAAATAATTTCTAAGCTTTCCTCTGAATCAGTAAGTTAATTGGCATGGAGAAAATATATTAAAAAGCTAATATTTCTGCATTTATCAAATTATGACATTCCCCTCTATTAGGTGCCACTTTTCTTCCTTTTCAAAAAACAGTTCTTCTGATGCTTACAGGAAAACAGGTATGATTCCTTTCACTCACTGCTCAGACCATTATCCTCTCACTGAGAGAAAAACATCACATTTAGCTTTGGGAACATATAAAGCTTTCAAGAGTCTTTAATCTATCCAAACCCAGACAAGATTCCAATTTTCTCTAATAGGAAGTGTCCCCGTGAGCTGTTAGCTGGATAGAAGGTAAAATACCAATATATTACACTCAGTGGAGGAAAGAAAGAGACTGTGAACACTTGAGATACTTCTGCATGGCAAGAAGTCTGCCATTGCCTGCTGTATTCAGTGCCTCCACAGAATTTCCACCACAAGCCAGTCTGATGTCTTCCCCAGCTTTTTGACTTAAATATGACCCTGTGTTTTTCTGTATAGGCTCCCCCTATCCCTTACTTCCTTGGAACTGACTTTTTATTGATGCTTTTTTCTTCTGCCCTCTTGTTTTTCTTGGCCTGTCTATACCCGCAAATCCTGTAACCCCTCTTGCTTCCTCTTTTTATGCTTTTCTTGTCTTGTCTTTCTCAGTATCAAGTTCACTTGGTTGATCTTTTTCAATGCTGTTTTCATCCTTTCTTGTTTTTCTTGCCAGTCTTCTGATTATCTTTAGCTGTACTTTCCTCAGCTACCCACACATACACTATTATGTGCTAAGCCCCACATCTTCTTTCTTTCCTTCCATGACCAGAAATATACCTTCTGTTCTTCCCCCTCCCTCCCTCCCTCCCAGAGAAACATCTGAAATGAAAGGAGAACACCCTCAGGCTGCTGCCTCTCTGCTCTCTTCCCTCCAGACTGTTTTTTTTTTTTTTTTTTTTTTTCCCCCTCCCTCTTGTTTCCTCTCCCACGGGGGACTTGTCGCCTCTGGCTTGTTTATAGTATTAATATATTAAATGATGCTTGTAATTTCTGGTAGTGATATGTTTTTTCTGCCTTTTCCTCTCCCCCATCCAAATTGTTCCTCACTTAAATAGCAGTAGCAAAATTAAATCAACTCAGGCAGTAAAATTAAGTGAAAATAGGGAAACTTCTGAAACAGGAAAACTCCCTATGAAATATATTGAGAGATGTGCGGGAGGTAAAATATCTAATGGTTTTGATTCCTTCTTTAGAAATTGGAGAAGCCTAATAGTAGTAATAATATTCAGCTGAGTCCTGTGATGGAATAAATTTTACAAATAATTCATTTTCAGCTAGATTTAAAAAAATAATTGTTAACATTTGCAAAATGATTTGGGGATACAAGCACTATATGAGTTCTCAGCTTTTTCAATTTGTATATGCTTGAAAGCACCTTCAAATCAACTAGTAATTAACATTTCCCTTAACAGAAGCTGACTGTAGAATAATCTGTCACATGCCTCTTTCCATGAGCTAAGATATCACTGATAAGTTCTGTTTACTGCTAGTTGATTGTTTAGCAATACTGATCCTTTTCATTAAAAAATATGGCAATTTTTCAACATTATCTAAGAATGTTACCTATGCTTTTCACTAAAATGTTCACATATGGTGAATAATGTGTTTGCTTAGCTTTAGGCACACACTTAACCTGCATTAACTATAATAGTACATAAAAAAAGCTTGAAGTCAAAGCATGTATTACAGTATAAAGTATGAAGACTTGCTTTGATTTGGCCCTCAATCTTACTGAATAAGCATTTCTAAAGAAATGAATATGAGCTGATGGTGAGCACAACACTAAACCTATTGTCTCACAATAAAAAATGCTAGCTTGCAGGCTTGATTGAAGATGCTTCCTCCCCACCCCCCTTTCATTCCTGTCCCTGCCCCATTTAATTTTAATTAAGATGAGGGCCGAGACCTTGCTTACAAGGCTTCATGACTCAGCAGGGCAGGAAGGGGGGCCACAAATACTTCAAGAGTGAACACTTTGTGTCGTGAAAGCACGGCCGAAGTAGTGATTATTTATTTAAGATACCTCACAGAATGCGCACACACGCACAAACATGAATACAGTATACTGTAGATTGATGCATAAATATAAAAATAAATACACATAGATGCTTAGATTACAAGATATCCAAAAAAGAAAAATGAAGTAACGTAGAATCTGGAAGAAGTACTCTGTTCTTTTCCTAGAGAGGTATAGAATATGCTTTACACATTTCAAAAGACACTAACTGATTTCAAAGCAATCACTAGCATTTCTTACATTTTCCTTGTGTTAGGCAATCTTGGGAACCACGTTAAGTCATCCTTACATACACGTGTGCAGCCTTCGGAACCACATACATACAGACGTGCATGCATACACTTGGAAGTCAGAACAGGCATGTCTGTATTTGGTTTTTGAAGGTGGAAGTTCAGTTTCTCTCCATTGCCTGAGAAGAAAGCAGCGGCATTGCTTTGTTCTGCCTCAGACTACTGGGAGATGTCTGTAATTCATAACCTGTTGTGCTTAAAGAACAATTGCTTCTGGTACTCTAACACTTCTGCTCCCAGTGTGCCAGCATGGAGCTGTGTGGAAAATGTAGCTGCATGTTTTTAACTAACATGACTGTCTTTTGCACAGAATGGTTTTACTCCACTGCACATTGCCTGCAAGAAAAATCGCATCAAAGTCATGGAACTCCTGGTGAAATATGGGGCTTCAATCCAGGCTATAACAGAGGTAGAAAAATGTTTCATGTCCTGAAGAAACATTTCCTTCTCTCTCTCCCTTTTTGCCTCTTTTTTTCCTCTCTCCTCTCATGCCTCACTTTCACTCATGTTTTATTTAAACAAAGAAGCCCCTTCCCTACGCCCGTGCAGAGGAGTAAAACTGCTCTTGCTTTGTTTCGCAGTCGGGCCTCACACCAATACACGTGGCTGCATTTATGGGCCACTTGAACATAGTCCTCCTTCTGCTGCAGAACGGAGCCTCTCCCGATGTCACTAACATTGTGAGTATGGCTTTGACTAGAATCCTCTGTGCAATACCTCCTCCGAAAAGGGTCTGGCCTACCATGTAGGTCAACCAAAGGTCACATTTTAATGATACCTTCTGACTTTATTGCATTTTAGGACAAATTATTCTAGCACCTTTACTGAAGAGAGGAAAATGGTGATTGTATATGCATTATAAGCCATCTGGGGTTTCATGTATTCTTCAACAATGCTCGAGTAGGTAAAGTTTCCCTTAGAAACAGACAGAGCTCACCAAATACATCCAAAACTGATTATAAGCCAAGTCACAGGGAAGACTGTGTTTCCGTTCTGAAAGATGAAATTTAAGTCCAAATGGCTCTAATTTCTGCTTGCATAGCTTCACTGGCTGCCATGAAATTGTGTCATTTGTATCAGTGAAAGGGTATTAAATGCTTAAAACCTAACAATTAAACAAAAAGGAAAAATGTTAAACTCACGATGTTCCTCTTATACAGGAAATTCCAGGAACTGGTGCCTTTTGAAAGAACATGCTTAAATCTAGAAAATGTGACCTTTGGGAGGTAACACAAAATGCAGAACCTGACTTACCATAGAAATCAGTGTTTGTATACCAATAGCCTAGTTACCAAGAACATAACAATAAAAAGAACACGATAGTTTTCTGAGCTGTATTTCATAGATATCTTACTGTTCAAGTTTGTCAGTATAAACAAATAGTCAACTTAGGACCACCTGCACTTTGAAAGCAGCTTTTTACCAGTAAATAATGTTATAGATAAGCATTCCCAACAACAGAACAACAACAAAAATTTAGTAATCCAGGTACACTGGACTCATCAGTTTTTCTTAGTTAGAAAAATCTTATATGGAACCTAGTGAAAATGTTGAGCACACTGAGTTGTTTGCTTGAATCATTAGAACAGATTTTTCTTACTGCTTTCATACTTTTTTAAAGAAGCAATCTTTATATGAAAACTTTATTGATGATATGAAAGCCAACAAGAAATGCTTGTGGAAGCAATTAAAAGTATTGTGTTACCGGACATTTGTGTGCAAAGTTTAACACTTTGCAATTTATGCTACACAGGTGTCTTGGCTTTTACTTGGTAAGCTGAAGTTCCCTGTTGAATTACTAACTGTTTCCAAGAGCTAAATTGCTTTGCTAATGCAACTACAAAAGGGTTGTTATAGAAATTTGATCTTTAGAGTGCGTGAAATGTAAAACTTACGCACATTTTAAACAGCTCATTCTTCAGGTAATGAAGTTTATATAGATGAAATTCTCTACTCAGATTTGTAGGTAGGGCTGTGGGATTTTGTTTGTTGCCTATTTACTAACCACAGCTGGTAATACAATGTTAATTTAAAAATGACAAGATGAATCAACTCCTGGTGAAGAGGGTTTGCTTTAATTAGGAATTCATAATAGTAGGCAAGCACAGGCTGCTTCTTTCCCTACATCTGGGCAAAGGACAAGAAGACATGATTCCTCATTCTGATGCAAAAGATCTCAACCAGAGTGTTCATTTTGGCAATTGCATTTGAACTTGATAATCATGGGGTAAAGCCTTACAACGGAATATACTCCAGCTCTAGAATGAGGAGAAGGAACAATTAACACAAAGAAGTGATCGGTCCTGCTGTGTTATCATAACATAACAGATAAATACAGAGCTCCTGGTTGCGGAACTGTCCCAGTACCTAATGTACCAGTTACCGATCAGCTGCACAGGGACTGTTTTAGTCCATTTTAGCACAGTGCCCTCAAAGAATGTTGGACAGTGCAAAATTAAGCTAGAAATGCCACTTTCAAGGAATACTCATTTTCAGTGTTCCTTTGCAAACCTATGCAAGAAGTAAATGGTTTGAATGTATCATCCGTACTTCATTATCCTGATCTGAAATTCCACATCGCTCCAGTCAGGTTTCCAAAATTTCATGTTCTCCTTCAAATTCTGTGGGCTACAAGAGGCTTGAAACAAGATTCATTCCATAGCCTGCAGACAGAGCCACGCTGCTGAGCACAGATTTTACACATTTCATATGCTGGCTCAGTTGTGCACAGCCATTGCAAGGCCTTTTAATGCTGCCAGCTCCACACAGTGTGCGGGAAGAGACCATCTGGAAAAATATCCCCTTACATCTTGAGGCTCATGTGCGTCGCAATCCCTTGAGAGAGACAGGCTCAATATACTCTCTTATCTCCTGTATGGCCCACAAGCTGGTGCACTGTTACGTAGAAAGCTGAGGAACATATGTGACCAGGGGAGTCTATACGGCAGAATTTTCTATAAGCCAGGATTTTCATTCTGACCCTCTGTAGTCTGACTTGACGTTTGTCTGGGATCACCGAGTTTGCAAAACAGAGCGTACCCAGGCCCAGTGACATGTATGCGCACACACCCTTCTGAACTGCCTGCTACTGGGTCTGAAGCCAGATTCTCAGCTGGTGGAAAGGCGAGTCTCTGCACGAGTTGACGTGGGTGGAATTTACACCATCAGAGCCTTGTTTCTTCATGGAGGTTTAGGACACTGAAATGCTTTTGCTTTTCTGCAGCGTGGAGAAACTGCATTGCACATGGCGGCGCGTGCTGGGCAGGTCGAAGTAGTTCGCTGCCTCCTGAGAAATGGGGCCCTGGTTGATGCCCGAGCCAGGGTAGGTGTTCTGCTTACAATTTTTTTTGCTTTCTCTTATTCAAAAACATAGCTGAAGCAGAGGAGCAATTTCATTTTTATTTGATCTGTTGCTTCAATATGAAGCACGCCTAAAAGCAGTTCTGAAAACAGTAACCTATTTATGCATAGATCTTCCAAAGAGAATGTGTGTGGTGGGTTGACACTGGCCGGCAGCTCAGCCCCACTCAGTCGTTCACTTACTGCCCCCGCAGCAGGATGGGGGAGAGAACTGGAGGGGCAAAGGCGAGAAAATCTCTTGGGTTGAGATGAAGACAGTTTAATAGGTGAAACAAAGAAAAAAAAAAAAAAAACCCAACAAAAAAACCCAAACCACAAAACCACCCCCCCACCCCCCAAGTGATGCAAAGGCGATCACTCACCGCCTCCCGCAAGCAGACCGATGCCCAGCCTGTCTCTGAGCAACAGCTCCTTTGGAAAAACTCACCCCCTATTTTTATAGCTGAGCGTGACGTTACATGGTACGGATTATCTTTTTGGTCAATTCACGCCAGCTGTCCTGGCTGTGTCCTCTCCCAACCTTTTGCCCACCCCCAGCCTATTCCCTGGGGGGACAGAGGGAGAAACAGAGAAAGCCTTGGCGCTGTGTAAGCCCTGTCCAGAAACAGCTAAAACACTGGTGTGTGATCAACACTGTCTTGGTCAGAAATCTAAAACAGAGGACTGTACAGGCAGCTGTGATGAAAATTAACTCCATCCTGGCTAGACCCAGTACAATGTGCCTGACTCAGACCAGCATTAGCTGTTCTATCTGAGCAAGGATGTGCACAGCCATGTCCTAAAACTAAACATCAGAGGTTCTGATAGCAGTTAGTGGCAGATTTTGAAACCAAGGGGACTTTTTGTATAGCAAGGTACAGCTGTTGTAAAACAAATTAAGAACACAAAGGTGAGCAAGTGATGCTCAGAGCGATGTGTGCTATCTGCTTGATAAAAGGAAAAAAAATGTTTTTCTTCATAGTTCTCTCTGTTCTAATAAGACATTGCTGAAGCTCATCGCAAAATTAAACTGTGAGCCCTCCATTACTGTCTTTTTTTGTACTATTACTTTCTATGATTTTTGCAAGACAAATGCATAGATAGATCTATTGGGATCAGCCACAATATTGTGTTCAGGGTGGTTCTACCTGCGCTAATTATCTACTCGATTTGAGTTGTAGGAAGAACAGACTCCACTGCACATTGCTTCTCGCTTGGGTAAAACGGAGATCGTCCAACTTCTGCTACAGCACATGGCCCACCCTGATGCCGCGACAACTAATGGGTACACTCCACTGCACATCTCTGCCAGAGAGGGACAAGTTGATGTCGCATCAGTTCTCCTGGAGGCAGGTGCCTCGCACTCCATGTCCACCAAAGTAAGACAAAATGCTTTGTGTCTGTATTCCAGTAGCACAGGCGGTGCGTGCCACCGCACGCCTGTTCCATGAGGAATGTGCTTTCACATTGAGAAGTTGAACTAGTTTGGGTCTTCTGTTTTGTTCTTACTTAATCAACAGCGATCCAACAGGCTGAAATCATGTATCAGAAGTTAATCAAATTTTGATACGTTTTTCTGTCATCTGAAGTTGGGCGTTTGGTTCCCACTGGAGCCAAATGCAGATCATGGTAAATACATGGTCCCAATAGGTTTAAAACGTACACAAAGTCCTTGTTTCTCTCTTTCCCATTGTGTTCTGGGTAGGGGTTTTTTGGCCAAAATTTTCAAAAAAGAAAAGGGAATGATGACGACACTTTTTTTTATGAACAGGCCTGCTTATTCTTCAGTACCCTGTGTATTTAAATAGTAGAATAATTCTGGTCTGTGCTAGCTGAAAGGAATGTTCCTAAAACATACAAGTCAGCATCTGTCTGGTTGCATCTAATGCTGAATCTATTTTCAGTGGCTCTGTAAATGAGGTGTCATATGACACAATAGGCTATTTTGTCCGGTGTTATAAAAGAAATAAGTCTGTAGAATTGTTATTGTTTTGTTAACTGAAAATGTTTACCAATAGATTTCTAACAGAGTGATGAATACATAAGAAAACAGATAGCTGTGAATAGAATTATGTACCAAGGTATCTTTTCCAAATTTATTGCATGTGACTAAGTGAGAATCACTTAATTCTCACTGTTGTTTTAGGTTTTTAAAAAAGTACCCCCGATTTTGCAGCTGGAGCTTAAAAGGTATTTTTTGAACAATGGGGTGTCTTCCAGGGTTTAGAGGACTAAACCAGCAATTTTCAAATTATGATCCATGGATTACTGGGAGTGCTTGCTGTTCTCCTTTTATCCAGCTGTTAAATCACATTAAAATGGCTAAAAATACACTAAATACTTTCCTAATTTCCCATACTGCTTTATGGCAATTGCTTTAGTACTGCAGGAACATTCTATAATTATGAATAGAAGATGTATTCCACTAGATAATCTCTCTACAAACCTGTGATTCATGAACTGGAAACGTTTGAGATTCCCTGACGTAAACTGTTTTTGAGGTGGGATTAATGGAACAAGACGATAATGATAATAAACATTGCACATCACTTATGTGTTAGGCAAATAGGTCATTGTAGCTCCCCCGGAATTACTGTCAGGGTGGCGGTGCAGTCTGCCACCTACTGTCTTGCATCCATGAGTTTTCCTTATCAACATGGTTTTTTAAGTTAAAAGAAGAGGTAAAGAGCATGAGAGTTTGACATAGACCTCACACCTGTGCTGTACTGACAAGTGTTATTAAAACAAATAGAAAAGGACTCTTTTTAAAAGACAAGATTTTTAGTCTTGCCACAGCGTGTTTCCAAAACCACTGCCATTGAGTCAGGCATGACTTTTTTTTAGCTGCAGTTCAGAGGCTGCAGCAGAACTTAGTGACTGTATGGATACATGAGCCCAAATATAAACCATTCTTCAACAAACTCTAAAGGAGGAATATGAAGTTTGGAGCTTTTCTCACTGAGTTTAGTTGGTGTTTCATTGTTACTGGCAACAATTGATATAGGAAATATTTCTAAAGCTGTCATCACAAAACTAAAAAGTGCAGCTGGTTTGGAGTAGAAATTTGAACAAATGCCTTCATTGCCCACACGCACAGTGTATCTTGCTAGTAGAGTCTGTATCAGATAAAATATCTGCCTGCCTGACAGCATGTATATAGGAAAGAATAACGAAAGGGAAATTTCATGCTTCTCAAAGCGCTTTCAAGAGATGATGCTCTTTCTAGGTACGGCCGTTGATTCTGTGAGCTAGAATGTAGGTTGAAGAGTAAGCGCTTAATACATAGTTGTAAAAGAGAGGATGTCAGCATGACCTTTAATGGAAACATCTGCTTTTTATCTCCTGGAATTTTTCAGAAGGGATTCACACCTTTGCATGTGGCGGCCAAATATGGGAGCCTGGAAGTGGCAAAACTCCTGCTGCAGCGTCGTGCCTCTCCCGATTCAGCTGGCAAGGTACTGACGAGAAAGAGGCAAAAAACCCCTGTCAGCAGCGTTTTGGATACTTCCTTAGGAAAGAACTGTGTGAAACATGCACGCGAAAGAAGGCTGCAGCAGCTTTTGCATGGTGGCCTTGGCTTTGTCAGGGTCGCGTTCCCCCAAGGGTGATGGTTGTGGGGGCCGCACCACCGAGCCTGTCGGGTTTGGGTCCCAGGCAGGAGGGCACGCCGCACGCAGCTCTGAGGGCAGATAAGTTTCCGTGGCTGAGGAAGCGCCGGTTCCATTAAGCCGACCAAACTGTGAAGATCCTAACGGATAAACACGGGGGGGTGGGGTGGTGGGGGGGGTAACGCCCGCTTTTCCCCCACGCTGTGGGAATTGCTTAGCGTGGGCTGCGGGGAGATGGAAACGAAGCCTGCTGCCGGCTGGGCCGCCCGCATTCACCCTCCTCCCCCGCTTCTCCCCCGCTTCTCCCCCGCTAACGGCCGGCCGCAGCCCTTTGCCCCTCAGCCACCCCCGGTCCCCTCACGGACTAACGGCTCCCTAACGCCGCGCGCCCCCTCCCCTTCCCCGCCGCGAGCGCAGCCTAACGCCGTAACCGCCCTTACAGAACGGCCTCACCCCCCTCCACGTGGCCGCCCATTACGACAACCAGAAGGTGGCGCTGCTGCTGCTGGAGAAGGGCGCCTCGCCACACGCGACCGCCAAGGTGAGCGCCCGCCTGAGGGAACGCCTTGCCGCGGGGGCGGCCCGGCCCGGCCCGGCCTGGCCTGGCCCGGCCCGCCGCCATCTCTCCCCCCGAGGCGGGGAGGGGACGGGACATCGGCGGCAGGCAGCGCCTCGGGGCCTCGGGCGCGGCCCGAGGTGGGGGGGGTCGGCGGGCCCGCGGGAAAAAAAG